GCGCTTCTGTGTTGTACGTCACACGTAGACTCATTATTGGCCAATGCTGGTCATGTGTGTGATGCGTGTGACGTACAACCAGAAGCGCTGTGCAGTTACACTACGTGAAATCTCGAGGCCCACAGGGAAGGAAATGAATAGTTGAATAAAGTCGTTATTTTTGTTTGATTTTTTGTGCACAAAAAGTATTCTCGTCACTTGATAAACTTAAGATTGAGCCACTGTAGTCACTCGGACTATTTTAACGATAACGAACTTTTCTGGGCCGGCAAGTCTTAGAAGCCTATGGAGGAGTGATCCAGCTCTCAGATTTAATCAAAAATATCTTAATTTGTGTTCCGAAGATGAACGAAAGTCTTACGGGGTTGGAACAACATGAGGGTGAGTAATTAGGTACTGACAGATTTTTCATTTTGGGGTGAACTATCCCTTTAAGTCAGTTTGTTGTTTTCACAAAATAAACTCCTTCATGGTGACAATAATAAGTGCTAATCACCCTGTTATTGTTTAGATTATGTATTAATCTTCACCGCATTGGAAAAGAGATTTCACAGTTATTTATATTCAAGGGAAACTTAATTGATTTTAAAGGTTTTATTTTTTTCTCCGCTTTAGTGAACGAGGGCTCCACGCAAGTTATCAAAAGGTTACTGGTATGAGTCCCAGTTGGGACACCCAGGGGACGTTGAGTCAGTACCAGAGGGCTGCTGAGATTGAGCCTTGAGCGCTACACTTAACCCTGATTAATTCTGAGGTGCTGAACATGGCAGCGCTGTCATTACATTTTGTAGATGTGCTAATAAAAGCAAATGTATTAGTGCCTTTCATTGAATAACAAGCATGATACTCAGATTATAAATCCTTCTTTTAGTTTTCTGTTCAAATTCTGTTCTTCAAATTAAATTCTGTTCAATTGCTAAATGATGAGTGCATTTCAATAATACATAAATCAAACAGACTTTTTGCGCTCGATGGTTTTGATTCATTAAAGGGATGGTATGCCCTTTTCACAAGATGTAAAATAAGTCTCTGATGTCCCCAGAGTGTGATTGTGAAGTTTTAGCTCCAAATACCTCACAGATATTTTTATATAGCATGTTAAATTTGTCACTTTTTGAGGGTGAGAAAACACGCACAGTTTTTGTGTCCCTTTAAATGCAAAGCTGCTGCTCCCAGCACAGGGGGAAGAGCTACAACAGCTTGTGTCCTGAAAATTTCAAAAACTTTTAGCCTTTTATGTTCAAACCGGAATCAGACAAAGATGGAGAGACTCGAGAAGAAGTGACAACATGTAGATAACATTTCTGAATGGTTAGTTGATGAATTTACGTAGCATATGTGTAGTTATCTTCTAGTCATTGATCAGCATATTTTGTCATGATAATCTATAAATCGTGTTCCCGGGGGCGGGGTTTATGTAAAATGTACATAATGTTGTGTAGTCCCTACCAGCTGTTTGTTGTAGTCCTTAAAAAGCAATTTCTTTAAAAGCAAATATCTCCCTTTGCTTTGATCTTTGAGCGTTGTAACTTTGCAGATGTTGTTTATGCTTAAACAGCAATATTACACACTAACTAAAGTTAAAAAAGTGAAATCATAATCATCCACCCCTTTAAAACAACAGACTGGACTGGTTGTGCTGTATGGGTTTGATTCAGTAAAATAAACCAGCTTGAAAGAGTCATTATTTTAGGAAAGGACTGCTGTGCTCAGTTTTGGATTCACTGGATTCCTTTGCTGTATGTTTCCTCCTCTATATTCAGTAGTAGTGCAGGAAACATTGTCAGCGCATTATATAACTTTTTTTTTCTTTCTTTTTTTTTTAAAATTAAGCTATTTTTTCTCCCCGAGTTCTTATTTTCAGTTTCCAACCCCCGTGTTATTTTGTATGGAAAGGGTTTATTATATCCCCACTCCCCAGTGTTGTGACTTTTGAGAGCTCTTATATTTATTTAAGCCTTTATATTTATTTACATTCACCACCTGACCTGTTCTATTGCCCTGTTGTTCTGCAGCGTCGTGCATCTGCTCCTGTCAAGACAATATGCACAGGGAGAACACAAGGCATTAAGACTGAAGATTTATCTGCCTTTTTTCCAGATTGAATTTGACCCAAAGCCTCGGAATGGCTTTTGAGCATTTGTTAATCTAGCTCTGAAATTGAAGTGGCATGGGCAGCACATTCAGTATGATGGAGTACATATCAAAGTGGCTCTTCTAACTGTCTAAGAAGAAAATCTATGGACTCTATGGAAGAGAGACTAGCTAGCGTGATGTACAATCATCTCCTGCACTTTGAGTTCAGTTTCACAAATCACATGTAGGATCTGCAAAGTCGAAAGTTTAACAAGACACCAACTGCATCTAGCAGATAAGATGTTGTCAATGTCATCAACGAATTTACTGACAAACACGTCTGTTAGAGAAGAGTTTCATTTCGCCAATGATAATGAAGACGAGACAAAAAACCTCGTTGAGATAATTTAGTATTATTTAAAGATGAAAATTACAAAATCTAAAAAGAATATGATTGTTTTAAATAATCTTATCACACAGGCATATACACAACGTGATCATGTGACACTGTAATGTTTACAAACTTTTGACCAGTAATATACACTCACCGGCCACTTTATTAGGTACCCCATGCTAGTAACGGGTTGGACCCCCTTTTGCCTTCAGAACTGCCTCAATTCTTCGTGGCATAGATTCAACAAGGTGCTGGAAGCATTCCTCAGGGAGTTTGGTCCATATTGACATGATGGCATCACACAGTTGCCGCAGATTTGTCGGCTGCACATCCATGATGCGAATCTCCCGTTCCACCACATCCCAAAGATGCTCTATTGGGTTGAGATCTGGTGACTGTGGAGGCCATTTTAGTACAGTGAACTCATTGTCATGTTCAAGAAACCAATTTGAAATGATTAGAGCTTTGTGACATGGTGGAAGTAGCCATCAGAGGATGGGTACATGGTGGCCATAAAGGGATGGACATGGTCAGAAACAATGCTCAGGTAGGCCGTGGCATTTAAACGATGCCCAATTGGCACTAAGGGGCCTAAAGTGTGCCAGGAAAACATCCCCCACACCATTACACCACCACCACCAGCCTGCACAGTGGTAACAAGGCATGATGGTTCCATGTTCTCATTCTGTTTACGCCAAATTCTGACTCTAACATCTGAATGTCTCAACAGAAATCGAGACTCATCAGACCAGGCAACATTTTTCCAGTCTTCAACTGTTCAATTTTGGTGAGCTCTTGCAAATTGTAGCCTCTTTTTCCTATTTGTAGTGGAGATGAGTGGTACCCGGTGGAGTCTTCTGCTGTTGTAGCCCATCCGCCTCAAGGTTGTGCGTGTTGTGGCTTCACAAATGCTTTGCTGCATACCTCGGTTGTAACGAGTGGTTATTTCAGTCACTGTTGCCCTTCTATCAGCTCGAACCAGTCTGGCCATTCTCCTCTGACCTCTGGCATCAACAAGGCATTTCCGCCCACAGAACTGCCGCTCACTGGATGTTTTTTCTTTTTCGGACCATTCTCTGTAAACCCTAGAGATGGTTGTGCGTGAAAATCCCAGTAGATTAGCAGTTTCTGAAATACTCAGACCAGCCCTTCTGGCACCAACAATCATGCCACGTTCAAAGTCACTCAAATCAACTTTCTTCCCCATACTGATGCTCGGTTTGAACTGCAGGAGATTGTCTTGACCATGTCTACATGCCTAAATGCACTGAGTTGCCGCCATGTGATTGGCTGCTTAGAAATTAAGTGTTAACGAGCAGTTGGACAGGTGTACCTAATAAAGTGGCCGGTGAGTGTATATACAATAGAGTAGACAATATGTTTGTTTTTGTTTTGTTTCACTTTTTTCACTAATTTTATGTTGTCAACTAAAAATAGGTTTTTATTAAATGTTGATGTTCAAATTATATATGTGTGTATATATATATATATATATATAGCTAACAGTCAAATCTGACTCTTGGTCATTCTATAGCCATCTCTTCTCCTACGTGAGAAACTGTCCATGAATTTTCTTGGCAATGATTTTTTCCGGGGTAAGTTGCCAGGCCATTTGCATGGCTTGGGAATCACACACACGCATTTACACCTACGGTCAATTTAGAGTCTTCAATTCACCTATACTGCATGTTTTTTTGGATTGTGGGGAAACCTGAGCACCCGAAGGAAACCCACACAGACACAGAGAGAACATGCAAACAGAAAGGACTCAGCAGGGACTCGAAACGAGGACCCACTGAGCCGCACCATATATATATATATACACTACCGTTCAAAAGTTTGGGGTCAGTGAGAATTTTATTTTTATTTTTTGGAGGAAAGAAATCAATACTTTTATTTATCAAGGACAGTAAAGACATTTATAATGTTACAAAAGATTCTATTTCAAACAAATGCTGTTCTTTTGAACTTCCTATTCATCAAAGAATCCTAAAAAAAAAAAAAAAAAACTGTACAACTGACAGACCAACAACTGTTTCAACATTGATAATAATAATAAATGTTTCTTGAGCATCAAATCCTCATATTATACTGATTTGTGAAGGATCATTTGACACTGAAGACACTGACACTGGTGATGCTGAAAATTCAGCTTTGATCACAGGAATAAATTACACTTTACTATATATTCACACAGAAAACAGCTGATTTACACTGGAATAATATTTAATACTATAACTGATTTTTGTTGTATTTTTACCAAATAAGCGCAGCCATGGTTAGCAGAAGAGAATTCTTTTAAAAGTATTTAAAATCGTACCGACCCCAAACTTTTGAACGGTAGTATATATATATGTATATATAGACTGGAATTAATGAATATGACATTGTCAAAAATTGACTACATTTAAAGGATATTTTTTATCAAAAAAGAAAAACTGATTAAAAGGGGGATTTTTTTTTTTAATTATGAATTTCACAATGTAACCTGAAGAGTATGGCCTTGCTAACATGTTCATCCTTTTTCTAGGTAAGGCCAACATTACAGCAAAAGAGGCCGTGTCTAGGTGGACAGGTAAGTCATTTGCATGCCTCACACATGCCTCATGTCAAGTCATGTGATGCATCCACAGGTTCTGAAATGTAGGCCACAGACAATCCTGACAATCCAGTTTTGTCAGATCTGTCTAAGATCAGTCCAGCCTTAGATCTGCACCTATATTATTTATTATTCTAGCACATATAGTTGTCTCAGAATAGTTGTTCTTTGTCTAATGAAATAAAATATCACGTGCAGTGTTTTGAAATACGACCGACCATCTTGTCTGCTTGCGAAGGTGATCACAATTGGGCGTTCCTTAAATATTGGTTTGATGCAGAAGTGTTGTTGATTTTGATACCGTGGATAAAATGAACTTGCGTGTTTTTGTAACTCCTGACTGCTGTGCAGTACAAACCCTTGGTTATTCCCAGGCATGATTTTTCTGGAATGCAGCAGACACAGACACGCATACCACTTAACTTCAGGATGGAGATTCCTTTATGCACTCTGCAAACATAACTACAAAAGTGGTCACAGATGAGCAGTGTACGAAGACTTTTGGTGCGGGCATGTTTCGGAAAACAGCAGGCATGCGAAATGGGAAGGGTTTAATGTTTTGTTTACATTTAATAGATCAGATTTCAGCCAAGAGTCAAACACTGTACAATGTACACTGTACACTAGGGAATCGCAAACACATGTAGGTTTTACTATATTACTGAGTGATCTCATAGATGGAATGGTTTGTATGCGGAAATGATTTACTGTTAGCTTATCCCTAAAACAAACCTGATACTATCAGTAGATTTAATGCAATATATGATTTAACTGAATTATGAGCATTTCAAATAGTGAAAGCAACTTCTTATTGAAATGTAAAATCTCTGTATTAAAAGGCAAAATCAGTGCCTGTTCTCTTCAAATGTATAATTACACTTAACTGTCTTGCTGTTTGCACAGTGGACCCTTTTCACATTCCCAGGGTTTTCAGAACCGGATGTCGTTATAATTGTGTAAACTTCTATAGTGGTAAATGCGAGACGGCAAATATAATTTTTGTATTCCCATTTGCTCCAATAGCAAAAGAAAAACTCTGTGATAGCGTTGCCATGACTTTCCAAAGGATGGAAAAAATATTGAGAGATTGATTACAGCAAGTCAGAAGAGTGAAAGATGTCACTCCCTCAGCCGTTGTATTAGAAACGATTGTAATACATTAATGCATTGTGAGCATTAATTATTTTTGCTAACACAAAACTATAGCATTATAAATGTATATTATTTTTTTTTTTTATTAAAATATGAAAAACTGTTAAAGATTTGGAAAGGCGTCATCACAGTCTGTGAAAAGGGCCCATTAAAAATTCAATTTCTGAGTTTGTTGCACAATGACTGAATAGTATTCATAATTCATCTGAATTGTTTTTTGTGTCATATGTGTGTCATGTTTCACATTCATTCTTTTCCAGATAATGTTTTTGCAATCAAATCCTGGGCAAAGAAGAAGTTTGGCTTCGAGAACACCAGCTTGGACAAAGCTTTTGGAATACCAGAGGACTTTGACTATATTAATTGACCAAAAATTCCCAGCCTCTTGGATCTAGTGATTGTTTGATTTGTTCAACACTGCACAATCAAGCTTTATTCGCTTGCATCAGTTTGTTTTACATTTTGTTCTCAGTTCTGCAGGTTCGAGACAAAGCTGTGAGCTATATACATTGCGAAGAGTGCGGTGTAAATTCTCAGGAGTGCCCCACCCTTGAAATTTGAACCTTGTCTAGTCTAAGGCAAACTTCAAGATTGATTTGTCAGCATAAATGGATAAACGATGGTAAAAATTCTCCCGGTGTGTAAGCGGAGAAGGTGTTGTGTTAACCCTTGGCTGCTCAGAGATGCACCCGATAACCATACTGACTGTTCGGACACATGTTGATAGAGAAACTGAGCTTCACTGGTGCTAGGATAATGAATTGAGGTGCACATCAAAGGTCAATTCAAGGAAATGAATCACAGTTTAGAGTTAGTTTGAAGTAAGGTAAAATTGTTTATGAAAAAAATTCTAATAGCAAAAGCATGCATGTTTCTGTATAAAGTATTCTAGTTCATTTCAATTCAGAAGATTTTTTTGTTTGCATTTTGGTTTTATCAGTGGCCACTTTTTCACAGGGCACATTTTTGTATGCTGTAAATATGAAAAATGGTCAATGGCTAATAAATGCACGTTTAAGCACATTTTGTAATGTCCTATCAATTTGCAACATCATGACTACACGTAAATGTATGAAAACACTACACACACACACACACACAGAGAGATATTGATACCTGTACCAGTAGTTTCTAAGTTTGTTGAAAATAATTAATGCTTGTTCATTTCAACTGTGTTATGTTGAAGTACAGTTTTTTAAAATATGAGTGCTGCTTCCTGAATAGGTGTAATCATTTAAAATAACTTTTATTAATCAATACATTATGTTAATAGAACAATTTTACACAAAAACAAGGTCCATAAAAAGCTTTAGTAGATTAGTTAAATCGGTGGAGGAAAAAACTTGATTGATTGCATACTTCTGTGCTTTTCTTGTTAGGAATGCTTCAAAAATACATGTGCATAGGTGTATTTTTTAATGTGTATTTTTTATTTATTTTAGTTTTTTTTTTCAATGACAAAAATATTGGATGTTTTAAGGGTTTATATTTTTAAACAAGTTTTATTAATCCATAATTAAGTACATTTAAACAGAAAACCAAGGCACAAGTCTCGAGTAATTCATTGGTATTTAGGTGTAGATCTGCACCAGCGATTAAATTGTTTGTATATTTCTGTGTACTTATAAGGAATGGTTCAAAAATATATTATAAGGGAACAAAAAACGTGTTTTGGTAAATCTTAATTATGACATAAAACGTCAAAATTATGACGTCACAATTTTGACTGTTTAAGACATAAATGTGACTTTAGAATTTTCATCATATGACTATGTCATAATTTCGACTTTTTAAGTCATAATTATAATTTACAAAAGCATGTTTTTTTGTGTGATGGAAATTGGCTTCCATATATTGGTGTAATATTTAATGATGTAATATTTGTTTCCAATGACCAAAATATTGGATATCTCAAGGGTTAATGACCTTCCATTTATTTGTGAATGTTATAGAAATATAGCCATGTGATCTAAACAGTATTGTTCCATCTCTCCACATCTACACTGCTGCTAGCGATGCGACTAAACTGTCGGAGTGTCAGTCAGTCAACTGTCAGCTTGTGCCCTGCTGGCTTTGGTCGGGTTTGTTTTCCCCCGACTGAATAATGTTCAATCAGCGTTTCTCTGTGTCTGTTGGGGCAGTGTGAACATGACAGTTATTTTTCATAAAATTCTAAATCCAACGGAAAACTTGTTTGTTGGCGTTTGTCTGTGCTGTGTGTCTGACTCTGTAGTAGAGTGTAACTTGTCTTAGATGGTTGATTCGCTCGCAGTGTAGATGGCTTGTCTGGCTGTAGTGGGCGACACTTTCACACTCGCTTAGGTACTGCTGAGAAAGGAGGGAGGGTGTGAGTGAGAGAAAGAGAAAGAAGTGAAGCCAGGGAGCTCAACACAGCCAGCATGGCGAGCCAAAGGGACTTCACACACAAAAAAACATGGATTAATGTCCTTCTACGACTCCTACAGCTATTATTGCCGTACATTCAACACGGAGAAGCTCAGTTTCAAGGTGAGGGAGACAGAATCGCCTTATTTAGTTTGTTCACGAATGCAACGCGAGTGTGAAAATGTCGGAGGAACTGCCGAGGGCTGATTTGACAAGTATTCAAGTGCACTCGTTATGCTATAAGGACACAATATTCACCCGAAAGCTGATCTATTTTATTCTAGTTTCATTCGTCTGTCTATCTGCATAAGGATTTATCTTTTGATTCATATCTGAAGACAGACTGCTTAAGCGTTTTTGGCCAGTTATTGGTTTTGTTCGATTTCCTGTGTTAATGCGATATGCTACAAAGCTCATATATCTGCATACAGCTGTTATTCAGTGCAGTCTATGGGAACTAAGCGTATATTCGATGTTCGCAGAAGAAAACACAAGCTACGAACAGTATTAATATGCACATTTAAATGTGTTTCCAGCGGCATGTAACGTTATGTGGATTGTTGTCATGGTGTGAGCTCTGGACTAAAATAGCTTGTCCGTTCAATTGCACGCCTTTGTCATCCACGCCAGTTTATATACTGCTTACTGTTCAACTACTGCAAACCAAACATATTAGATAACGCATTAATAAGACAAGCACTAGTGTCAATTTCGGATTTCCTGTATTTTTGTGTAGAGACAGGAATTGGCCTGGTGTTTCTTGATCTGCTCGCTTGATGTTCTATATGTTTGTTATTCCTTCTTTCTGAAGCTCTGACTCAGATGCCCAGCGTGGTTGAAGTTTGGCAGGAGGACGCAGACTTCTTCATGCCATCGCAGGTATGTGAGCTGGTTTTAAAAAAAATGACGTCATAAGCTGGACGTTTTTATTACAGTGCAACTTCACTTCATTGTGAGCCGAAAGCACGTGCGAGACATGGTGCAATGTACTGTTGTTACATTTGCAAAGGTGGCAAAAAAAATTCTAAATAACTTTCTAATTTCATTTGGGTTTTTCTATATGATTTAGTGTCTATTGATTTTTGCAGTGCTTATATGGGCAATGCAATTGTTTATTTAGCTTGGTGAAATGCGTTTGCATGTGGAGGCGGGAACTGGGAGGCATCTTTCTGTTAGGACTCTTGGATCCTGAAAGAACAGAATACATTCATTTTTGCATGGTCTCATGTTTTCGTCTGAAATAACAAACTGGCATTAATTCCAGCAGCATATATTACGAAGTCTATTATGTGATTTTTAAATTATTAAATGGAATTAGTAAAGGTATAGTTCACTCAGAAATGAAAATGTTGTCATTTACTCGCCCTCATGCCTATTTTGACTTACTCTCCCCTGCGAAACACAGTATTCTTTGAAAAATGGTGTTAACCAAACTGTTTTACCGACTATCAACTTCCATTGTATGGACAAAAACGCCAAGACATTTCTCAAATTATCTTATTGAGGGTGAATAAATGACAAGATTTTCACTTTTGGGTGAACTGTCCCTTTAAAGGGAAATGTCAAGCAAAAATGAAATTAGTGTTGTTACAAACGTGTACGACTTTATATCATCACACAATAGGTGATGAAAATCATGGCTTTACTACAAATAAAAACAAAAAACTTTGGTTATTGTAGTTAAATCGTGGTAACCACAAATTAACCATGGTTTTGCTACACTAACCACCGTTTAACCATGGTATTTGTAATTAATCCACCAAAAAACATGGTTACTACACTTTTACCATTATAAAACCATGGTTAATTGACTAATTCTGCCTTTTAGTCTTAGGCAGAATGACAGTCCCTAACATCATTCTTCTTCACATTGTCTTTTGTGTTTTACTGTAAAAAGAAAGGCATACATTTTTAGAACTGAGGAAAAAAGAAAGTTTAAATTTGTGGGTGTATTATCCCTTTTAAGTTAATGTCTTCGCATTGTCATGACCTTTGTTTGACCACATTGAATGCTAAATGTTTTGTCTGTTTATGAGTCAGGATTTTAATAGTTAATTAAAACCATGTACTAAAATAACAAACTAAAACTGAAGTAGAAATTCATAATAGACATATTGTTTAGGGACGCCGAAAATGATAGGCCGAAAAATGGCATTTTTGGGTTTTCGCCCAGAATTTTCATTTCGGTGCATTTTATTTTTTTAACCAAAAATAATAAAAATGACAAAACGCACAACAAAATTGCTAAAACTTAAAAAGAAAAAACTTGACAATGTACAAGTAAAAACAAATGTAAAATGTTAATAAAAACTACAATAGTGTCTAAATGATACTCAAATGTGATCCGCACTTCAAATTGTGGTTAAGCCGGTTGAATGAGATACAATAAAACGCCATACTTTCCCTCCCTGTGATTAAAAAAGTTATTAGAAAGTAAGAGTTTGATTGCCAGGTATGATCTTACACAGATTTGCATTTGCTAGATGCTTCCTGTTCACAGAGGAATAATAATATAGTAGTTAGACAGAATAATGAAATAACATATCTAGGGCTATAGAAAAACACTTGTGTATACAGAAGAGTTGCTGTGATATGCAGAAGAGGTAATGCATAGGTTGTATGATTAAATATTAATATGAATGAACATGAACATATTGATAATAGAGCTATGCAAAACTTGACACCATTTGCATTTTAGCCCAACACCTTTCATAGTTATAAAAGTGTGCTGTTTTCTAGTGGTGGTGGATTTATTTATTTTTTATCACGATCAGGCACACAAGACTGATTAAAGATTATTTTTATCATGTTTCCTTTGGGGCAGGAAGCTAAAGCCACACAAACATGCACAGAGATTCTTGCTGCTTCAGGTTGACAGACAATTTGCCATTTTTGTGGTTAACAGTTACGCAAGAGACCTGTCTTATGGCTTGAGAATGGTTACAATCGAAGTGGATGGAAAAATCCATTTATAGTTCTCGATTTGTTTAAAGGGGCTTAGTTTGTTGGCTTGACGGTACTAGTGGAGGTGGATGCAATGTTATATCAATCTGTACTGAATGTAATCTTTATGTAGTAGGGCGGTCAAAAATAGCGTGTTCATTTCTGTGATATTTAATGTGTTCAAAATATTTAATGTTATTCAATCAAAATCAGTTTTTGTTCATGGCATCCTACAGCGCCACTGTATGAACAGGATCTGGTTCCATTCACCAGTCCCGGAAAGCGAGAGAGAGAAGCTTACCGAGGATGGGATTTGAGTTCTATTTTGCTTTGAGTTCGTCTTATGCTTGAATGGACAAAAACGCACAAAATGATGTAAAAATTATGTTTTGAAGAATATCCTCGTTAGCACAGCCTGGTGTTCCTCCTGTGGCGGTGAAAAATGACAGAATTTATTTTCTATTTCAATAAAATGAATGTAGTGTATTGTAGTTTGAGAATAGTTTTTTATTTAATATTTAGTATTTTTGGGGGATTTTATGGTACCAAATTATATTTATGTAGTAGGCCTAGTAATAATCCATTTTTGCGTTTTTTTTATCATAGACCTAGTGAAAATGAAATTTCCAGTTTAAACTGTTGAAATCTTGAATGCTTTAGAGCACTAAATTAAAGGTGCACTGTGTAATTTCTAG